AAAGGACTTGGGTGGGGGGGGCGGGTTGTGAGAATGGGGTAGACTCTAACCTACTGCTTCACAGATCAAGTTGGGATCAATTTAAGGTTTCCCATCCAATGACTCTGGCAAAGAAAGCATGATTGTAACTCACCAACCACTGACCTCCAGGTCTAGTGTTGCATGGGTGGGGATCAGCTGGAATCTCACGAACATGTGGGAGGCTGGACTGATGAAACAAAGACAGAAGGTCCACATCCAGGTTTGCAGAAGATTGCCTAAGGCGGCATGGGATATCTGAAAGAGACTAGAGGAATAAATTGACAGCTGGTCATTCCAATTTTTGAGTCTTTACCCACCCAAAAAGGCAGCATATATTCTGCTGTCCATTTTAGATAAAATAAACAAATTGTTTATTTATTTGGGAGAAGCCAAGGAAATGCCCGTTCCAATCCCCTCAATTTGGCTCTAAATGCTCACTAAGTTCTCAGCCAAGGAACGTATTGTTTAACCTCCTCCATATGTTTATCTGTGGTTTACATTATTATTTGTAAAATATATTCCAACATGCTGTTTACTTTATTCTGAAATTTCAGGACCTTTCCGTGGCTTTTCCATGCCCTAGAAATTTCACATATAAATCATAGGGGAAAAAAAAAGTCCGTCTCATCCTGTTTTCCTGTTCAGTGTTCCAAAGAAAACAGTTAGGAAGAAAGTTGCTGATTGTTAACGTAATCCTATGCCAGCTCATCCCAATTATTTCAGCTGGTAGACTCATATCTAAAAATGACAAATACTTGCCAAAGCACTTGAAAATACAATTGGGCTAAAATGTTCTAACTTGTGTAGATAAAGTTTAGTTGCCAAGGGAAGACATAAAAATCTAAAGATCTTAAAATATCGAAATTCCGTTAAAGTCCCAGTGCCCAGTGTTTCCTATTGGCTAGCACTACATGGATCTCAGTTCGGTGTTTTAATTAAGATTCTGAATTGCTCACTGAAAGCTTTCAAGAAAGGTGAGCAGGTTTCTTTTCTGTTTTTGTTTGTTTGTTTGTTTTTTGGAAGGAGCAAAAGCAATGTGCCCCTTGCAGTGGGTCTTGTGATCTGGCACACATGAAGTCAGAGAGCTGTAGCTTGAAAAAGGAATGAGAAACCCCGTCTCTCAGATGAAAATGTAGAATAAAACAATTTCCTGAACACTGAATAGTGTCAGAACACTGTAACTGCACTGGTATTCAGGACTTCCTAGTCAATCTGGGATGTGTGGCCATCATGCTCCAATGGCACTTTGCTCCATCCTCTGATTAGGTACAAAACTTAAGTGCAAGTAAGTCGGGCTTCTTATTATGAGTCACAATTATATTTTTTTCAAACATTTAGATTCAGGCACTATTGTCTTCCACTGAAAGCAAGAAGTAATATAGTGCCAAACTGCTTAGGTGCACTGGAAAATTTCACAAGCCACTTAACCTGCATCTTTACATGCCTAAATATTTTTAAAACTTTGACCTTGAACTCCAAATTCTGTTACCTACATTATGTAAAAGCCTGATTTTCGTAGCTGTCAGGTAACAGTGGCTGGCCACCTTTACAGATTTGGCCTCTTCCTTGGAAGCTTAAATTTAAGCTTAAGTATCCAGGTTTGCAAATAATGCAGTCTGGTTTGTAGACACGCACACACACATGCTTATCAGGGAGTATGATTTTGTTTAGGGCGTAGTTATTGTGCAGTGTCATTATATCATGTAAAAGTTGCCTTACTGGCTTGCCTACAGACAAAGCTTGTAATGTTTATATAGATTTTTGCTGTAAACAATCATTACACACTGAATGGAGTATTAAAAGTACAGAATAATAAAAGTGAAAACAAATTACAGTAATAGTGTCAATGTTACATCTCAGTTTTATTACTATGATTAACTCTCGTTAGAACATGCCTATTCCATAAACATTTCTATCTCTGTTATTTCTATTCTGTTTCCTCTTATCAGTGTGAATTCATGGAGAAATGTTTTTACTCACATTGGCTCTTAAGGGACAATTTGTTGCCTCAGCTGTGAAGCTGAGCACAGTAGGAGTAGCCATTACTTTGGGAGAGCCAAAGGACTGATGCTGTATGGAGGCCAGGGAACCAGCTCATTCACACCCCTTTGAAAACTCTCATTAAGGCCATGGGCAGATGTGCAGAATGCCAGCAACTGTATTGGTCGTTGCTTCCAATAATTTCTCCCCAGTTGCTTATAAATGATAACTACTTTCACGTAGTTTACTGACTCCTGAGTCACTGGAGAAGCTGAATCTATCCTTTCTAAATACCATGGCAGTTGAGTTAACGGAGTTAGTGCCATACCAAAATGGTGCAAGACCAGAATGTAGCTGATATAATCCCTCTTATCACTATAAGAATGTTTCAGCTAATACATGAAGACCTATTAGAAAACCAAAACATAGGTATTTAAAGACAGATTATAAGGAGTTCCTCAGTAGTATCTACCAGTTGGACTGGAAATGTCACTAATGGAGTGATTAAAGAAAATTCTTTTTTTTTTTTCTGTTTCACTTGTAATCAATAAGTTTACATTCTAACTACCAGCTACAGAGTGGATTGAAAAAAAAAAATAGATATTCTCTTCCCACTCTATTTTCACCCCTCAAAGAAACATTTCAGTTTAATTCAAAGTTCAATTCAAATGCAATACCTTCACATAGGAAGGAAGAATGTAGATTGGGCATATAAATATATACTTGCATACACCTTTCAGTCAGATTATCTTGGCATAGTCTCCTTTAATTGTTTGGTTGCCTCTCTGAACACCTCTCTTGCTTTGCATAGCTCCTGGGCTGTCAGAGGTAAGATGTATCAATTCTACTTTATCTGTTTACACTTTCTTCTCTCAGTTATTGTTATGAAATGAGTAAAGTAGCTTCTGGGGCTTGGTATGTTTTTGTGTTGTTTTATTTAATGCTTTGAAAACCAGAAATCTCAGATGTGACTCAAAGATGAAGGAAATGTCTTGCCTTCAAAATTAATGAAGGACTCACTCTTGGCAGCTGAGAATGGTTGTTTGCAGCTGGCAGTCTTTAGTTTTGATGAAAATGTCATGTAGGAGTTAAAGATATGCTGGAATCAATTTACTTAGATTAGATTTAACAAAAGAAACAGGTATGGTATGCAGTAAAGCATATACCTTTAATACCTAAAACCTTAAGTTTTTGGTGCAGGATAAGAGAGGAATTGGGTGAATGCTTTTGTACAGCTGGCACTGGGATTAAGGAAATGTAAGAGGAAGATAGAGAAGAACTGTTGATCACTGAAAAGAAAAGTTCAGAAGAGGAAGGAGAAAAAAGCTGCTGACCATTACTAAGTATGGAAAATAAAACAGCTCAGATTCTGCTTTCAGAGAGAGATTATACAAAATGCTAACAGTTAAGTGTTCATACGGAAAGTATCTGTTTTTGGAAGAAACCTGTCTCTAGTATTGGCCACGAAGTCCACAGGGGTCACAGAAAATAGCCTGAGAGTTGGCTACTGGTAGGTTCTGTGTAACTTTGGAGCTGAAGTGAAAGAATCTTGCTCCTGTGAACACGATGGACAGAGTAGTTTCCACAAATGTTGCAGAAGCTGTTACGTAAACATGTGAATATATTTTAAAGACATAAAATTCTACATTAAAATATGATCTACAAGATATATTATACATCTTTGTATTATATAGTAAAATAATACAATAATAAATCTTAACTTCTGTTAGATAAATATGAATATTATTGTGTGTTTCCTGTCCTCAATGTATTTTGAGTTTGTTTGTTAATAGAATGCGACTACAAAAGTTATTTGTTATTTTTTGGATCTTGTTCAATTTTGTTTTCCATACAGTAGCACATTTTTGTGTTTATGGTTATATTTTATTGCTACTTTGCCATCAGCGGAAGCATCATGTAAACAGTCTTGGAAGTCTGAGGCTTTCTGTGCTCTTGACAGGGAGAAGCCTATTCAGTTGGTGAGGCAACAGTAGACAAAATGATACATGGTTAGGGGCATCTTGCTCATCAAATATTAAGGAAAGTGGACTGCCCTTCTGGGTAAAGGAGAGGGCCACATTTCAACATCTCAGCTTTAGCTGATGATTTCTAGTTCCATATTCTACACACCTACATAACTGTAACAATTGTCCAAATGAACTCATCACAAAATACTGTGTGAAAACCAGATGTTTCTGCTTGATTGAGAAGAGAAAAACTATTTCCTGCAAACATCACAGAGCACCGTTGGCAAAATTTACAAACCTTTGGCAATATGGCTGAAATTAAACAAAGCCTTAAGGACAATGTGTACGGTGGCATTGTACATTTATATTGTACACACAAGATTGTGACTACTCATGCTGAAATTGTGGAAGGTCCAAACAATTACTGTAACTGGAGCTCTGGAATGAATAGTACTTCTATACCGTCCTGGAGCAGGTACACAGCAAGGTAGGAGCCTCCTTCCTATGTGTCTTCCTCGCAAGGTTAGGGAAGTGAGCAGTGTTAGTGCAGAAGAGGCACTGAACCTAGAAAACTAATGCCAATAATTTATGTATTATTTCTGGCAAAATGTCTCTAAAGTCATGTTTTGCTTGACTTAACTATTCCATTAACACAGTTTAGACCTTATTTTGCACAGTGCTTTCCCAGCTAATGGCAAATGGCAAATATGGCTCTGTGTAATATTCCTCACCCATGTTAATGTCTTTGTATTCAGCCTTGATACCATTAAGAAAATTGTAGCCCTTATATTCAGACCTTTTTCAAAGGTGAAAATTAAATAGTGACAGTGTACCACTGCTTTTCCAAGTACTGCATTAATGTCATTCTCTGAAACCTGACTAGCAGCCCCAGACAAGTGTCCAAAACCCACTGTACATAGTGCAATTAATCTCTTGTAAGTACTTTGTTATTAGTTTTATTACTCCCATGCCCGAGGGGGAATGGCTTCATGGGCTAGATTTCAGGCTGAAAATATGCTGTCTCTCTGGAAGCACAGGTTCCAGACTGCACGACCGACTCAGATCTTCAGCTGCCCGTGGTCAAGCAAAGGACTTTCACATACCTCACTCTGTGTCCAGGTAAGCACTAAAATGTAAAGGAGGGGTAGCTGTATATCTCCTAGGAGTGCTCATCTTTGACATTTACGCTGTATCTAAATTAGTGGTGCCTTGAAGAACAAAGTTGTCTTCAGGGTCAGTACAGGCAGGCTTCTGGAACAGCCCCACAAAAACTTGGATTTTTTTAAAATACCTGTTCAAAAAAACATAGTTTACTGGCCACAGTTACAGAAATGAAAAAGGGTGTGTTTTGTCAAGCCTTCAGGTCAACACACACCAAATCTGCAGGATGCACCGCGGTGCAAATGACCACCACAAGGACGTTGGCCCACAAGGCAGCACAAGGCCTCCTTCTCCTCGGACCAGGGGCAGGCTATAAATCATGAGTAGCTCCATTTAAGGCAAAAGGCATCCAGTGGTGTAAATAAAAGATTAATCAAACCTGTTTAGGCTAAAAAGTCATATATTAAAAAAAAAAGGAGAGAGAGAAAGAAGGAAAAAGAGAAAAGGAAGGAAAAGTCCATGTTTCCATGAGGCAGTGCCTAAAATAAGATCTTTAAGTGCCAAAGGTCAGAGGAGGACCTTTGAAGCTTGCTGGGCCTATTCTGAATATACCTCCTGCGGATCTGGCTAATAACCTGACAGACATTGTTCTTTTCCCGGATTTACACTATTTATTGTATTCCTGGACGAGGGTTGTGCCTTGCTATAAACGTGGAAAAGTGGCTCAAAATTCAGCACCACACCGGGGCAGTTTCGGGAAGGAAATTGTCCCTTTCTTGGCAGAAATGGCAAAGGGGAGCAAAATACGTTGTAAAGGGGGTAAGTCACGCGCTAGCTGATGTGGGGTACAGAGGTTATGGTATGTGGCTACGAATTACCTCAGTGGAGGTGGCACCAGGCCACCTCCCACCCG